CCCATCTCCCACATCTTTGGCAGGTCTGGAAGTTCTTCCATCACCAAAGCAACCACTCACCGTCAGCACCAAAAGAGCAGAGGAGGAGTCCAGGAGATCAGAGTACAAAGCCCTTGAGTACTACCAGGGTGGGCTGAGGAGCAGCGTGGGCAGGGACGTGGGAACTTGGGGCTGCACAGTGAGTGCTGCTGGGTGACAGGGCATGGCACAGGTAGCTGCAGATGCTGCTGGTAAGTGTCTTGTGCTACTCCACAGCCCGGAGGGAGGAGGGAGAAGGAACCTCACACCCCCAGGACCCGCAGCACATGGCTGAAACACTTTATCTGCTTTTTGTGCATTTCTGTACTTCGTGTGCACAGATTCAGTTTGTCATCCCACAGTCATCACATATGGGACAGATACAGGAAGAATTTATGCTCCCTCATTTCAGGCCTTTTGCTTTAACCACAAGGACATCCATCTATGGTGTGTAAGAATTAGCAGGACCATGAGAACTCCATGACACAATCTATAAGAGATATTTTTAATGATGCAGAATTCTCGAAAATAGATTAAGGATACTTTTAAAGGAATTATAATGTAGTTTGGGTGGAGGCTCTACAGAAAGACAAATACAATTAGTTCTTATGTTTTCCTCACTGCCTTCTTTCTCATTGCTGTCAGGAAGCCTGCATGAAAACATGCTATTTTATACCAATGACATCTGCATCTTGCTCTTTAGCAGATATGACAGTCTGTATGCAACATGGCAATCTGGGAACTCTGGAGGGAATTACATCAGTAGTTTGTGTCAAATTTCTATGTTCCATTTCTATTAGGGAGGATTGATTTAGCAGCCAAATTAATATGACTATATGGTAGCATAAAACCTATTAAAAAAGATAATTTACAAGCAAGGTCTTATTTCTGGTTCAAGGAACAGATGTAGGAAAAAAGATGAAAAGTAGGAAGTTGAATACAGTTCAACAGATACCAGTATCAATGGCTGAATGCTGAATTACCCACTCTTTGTTAATTCAAACTTCAAACAATTGGAGTGTGGTGGTAACTAAGAGCAGTATATTCCTCATCAGTTGGTACCTTTATGATAAGGTGTCATTGTGAAAGATTTACTTTATTTCAAGAACTCACTGTTGCCTCAGTACTAAGTGCTGTCATGGCATGGAAGAGTAACTCTCACCAGTGCAGAAACCAGGAGGTCAATAAAGCACTCGGCAACAGATTTCGGTTCTCATTTGTGCTTCTATAGAGTAATTAAACAGAATGGAAGAAACAGCAAATAGGAAACCTGCTTCACAGCTGGATCTTTTTTAGGATGCTTACTGTGACATCCAGGAACCTGCTATTCTGCAGGTGACCAGTGAGGAGTTCCAACAACAGAGCAGTCAGCGAGTTCAATCATTGCATATTCATGCACTAACTTGTATTTCTTTCTAACTTGATGAGAAACGACAATATATTTTAGGTAGTCTTTTCCATTGGACATTTACTGACCTTTATCTGACTAGAATGAAAGAAAAGCCCAAGGTCAACTTTAACCTTTCTATCCAAACATACCATAGGAATGTATACATGTAAAGCAAATCTGAATGTACAGCAAGTTAATCTTGGTCTTTTCTAGACTATGTACTGCAGTTCTACTTAAATCTGCAACAGCAACAGGAACAGTTCCACTCCAATAGCCCCAGAAAACCTGCCTTCACAGAGTACATGAGATGCATTGCTGTTGCCCAGCACACCCGCAACCTGCTGTTATGCCACATCCCTGCCTTCAGCCTCCTTTTCCAACATGAGGCCACCCATGGAATACACTACAGAATAAGTTCAGAACACACACCTCACATCTCTGGTGCAAACCTTCCCCTGGCTGTATGGTGAGGGGCTGGGGTCAGCTTTGCAGTGTAGCACTGTGTACTTGATGTGTCCAGCACCCTTCTGCTGGGGACTGAGAACTACCACCAGGTTTGCCCTACACTCTGCTGGCTTCCCACCCTGTCTCACAACAGGTTTTATCTCATTTCTACAGGGTATTACTTGCATTAGCCAAGTACTTTGCTAATTTTACTGTTCTTAAGTACTACTAATAAATCTTATTATGGGGACTCTGATGAAGAATTACAGCTAATGTGGCTTGCCAGTGACTTTCCACATCCCACCATGGGAGTACCTGAATCGCCAGCAAAACATCTCAGTTACAGCACAAGCCCAGGTCTGTCAGAGATTCCCTGCAGCTGGAGCTGGCACAGATCCCTCCAGGCAGTGTTTTAAAGTCTCCTCCTCTTTTGGCAGACTTTTCTGAGAAAAAACAAGAGCCAAAGCACTGCCCATCTCTTCCAAGAAGTGGACCCTTTGGAGGATAGCAGCATCTGATACACCCCTCAGAATTAACCTAATAGTCTTTCAACAGAGCTTCTCAGTCTCCTTTTGCTGAGGTTGAGATTCAAATCCAGTATCTAAACAAGACAGCAAGGAGTAGGCAATAGAGCAGGGCACTCCTTCACCAATGGTGAGGCTAAGATCTGAATGTTACAGGTTCTCCTGGCAACCTTATTATTGATGAAAATGAAAAAAGGCAGAAGTTGCAGAAAAGAGTTCCCCAAATTCTTAAGGTTTAGGTAAAATGCTTCACGCTGACTCAGCTGTTTGTTTCATCTAAATGCAAGTTAGGAGGCAATGCAATTAAAAGTACAGCTTAGCTCATGGGAGCCAGTACTAGATATAAAAGCACTTTTATTTCCCTGGAGAAAGCCTCTAAACCATCCAGAAGGTATTAGCAACAGAACTTAGAAATGATGGCCAATGCCTGAATAATGAAATGACTGGCCACTGGTCAAGCTACTAAAGGAAATGGGGGATTTTCCATTATTTGGTGTTTTCCTGTTGAAACTCAGCACCAAGCTGGAAGTCATGACTTAGCCAAACAGAGTTTATGCCTTAGCTAAAAGTCAACAGGCTTTACAGGGAGGTCAAACTGGATCCACTCACGCCTTCTGCCCTTAAATCCCATGACTGTAAGGAGTAAAGCAGATTTCCTCCCCCTTTCTCAGCCTTTAAGGAAAACAAGTCTTTTAATCTATTTAGAAGCCCTTTTTGACATTCTTAGCTGCAGTTTTTCTCAATCAGCCTAATCTTTTCCCATCAAGCTCCATGCTAATCCCATTTTGCACCACTCCTTAAACTAATAAAAGATTAGAGTGACATTTCAGAAAAGGGCATTGTATTAAGCAGCTTCTTTCCCATCTCAACAGATCACACAGTACAAAATGTAGTGAACAGGCCATTAATCTTATGATAATGAGGTGTCAGTCTGAATGGAGACCTCCTCCTTGATCAATATGAAGGGCGCAGGAACAATGAGGACACTGCTGCTCGCCAGCTCTGGCAACTTTGCCAGAAGGCAGCAAATCCATGAAGTGGTGTTGTGATGGTGGCAACAGCTCTTGTCACCACAGTGCTCTGCACTTGACAATGGAGAGCAAGCATTTGCACTGCTCTGCCACCCCCTGCACTGCCCGCACATAATGAGCTTTTCCCTATCTTCTAATTAGTGGCATAAAACTGTTTAACAACTTCAGCCTTGCTCTAACATGAAATCAATCAGGATTATAACCACACACAGAGAAATTCTTCACACCTATCCAGCTGGTGAAAATCACTGTCAAACTACTTCCTTCATTCCTACAGTGGATGAGCCTTTGCTCTTCCTGGTGACATGCCCACACTGGTATTATCCCATTATAGACAGAAAGAATTTTTTTACTTTCTTAAACAAGTCACCCTTCCCCTTCAAGAAAACACCCTGGAAGACTCAAGAACAAGGGGTGATGGGTTCAAACTGACACAGGAGAAGTTCAGGTTAAATATAAGGAAGAAGCGCTTCCCTGTGAGGGTGCTGAGGTGCTGGCACAGGGTGCCCAGAGAAGCTGTGGCTGCCCCATCCCTGGCAGTGTTCAAGGGCAGGTTGGACACAGGGGCTTGGAGCAACCTGCTCTAGTGGAAGGTGTCCCTGCCCGTGGCAGGGGTTGGAGCTAGAGGAGCTTTAATGTCCCTTCCAACACAAACCAGCCTGGGGTTCTATGATTCCAAGTTTTACCAAGTGCTGAGAAAACGTTCTAGAAAAAGTACCAGGCCCATCCTGGCCAGTGACACCTGGAGACATCCTGTCACTTGCTCTAATCAGATGCTTTTTCTTCAAGAGCCAGCTGGGCAGAGAAATCAGCTTTTCTCCATACACAATGCCATGAAACTGCACTGAACATGAAACTGGTCACAACTACATATTTACACTGCACAAACTTGAGCCACAGGGCTTAAAAATGATCAGAGAGTTAACCCAGGGAAAGGGCTGCTAAAGGAGCAGTGGAGAATGAGCAGCACCTCTCCCTTCCTAGGGAAATAACCTCTGTGCATGGGTTTCACTTTTACATTTGCTTTTCTTTCTTGTGACTAATGAATAAAACCTCTGAGTTTGGCATTCCCAAAAGTTAAGTGTCTGAAGGTGAAACTGTCCCATGATTTGCTTCGTAATTTATGCTTTTTCGTGGTTTATGTAGTTACTACTGAGATGGGTAAGAGTTCTTCCAAAAATAGTCACCCTGTAGAGGGATTTAGCCCTTCTCCTCCTACTTAACACAGTCTAATTCTGCACTTGCACAGTTGCTGTTTTGTCTTGGTGCGGTAAACAAAAGCTAAATATCAACATCAAATAAACTGATTATTTGGAGCTATTTCAAAGACAACATTCACCCAAAACTAAACCTTTACAGTAGATGAGAAAACACAACAATTTTCTGCAATCACAGTAGCACACAGTATCACTTTATTGCCAATAAATGGCAATTTTTAGCCAGGCAGCTCCTAGCTAAGTCTTTATTCTGATTTTCTTATCTAATAACATACATAAAAGAGAGACCTTGAATTAAAATAAAAGGTACCTCTAAAAATGCTACCTCTCCATCTTTGTTGGAAATCCACTGTCTTGGTAAAGCTCAGCTATTTACCTGTATACTGTGGTAGGTGGAGAATTAAGTGTGTCGTAGATGAGCCTCACATGTCCTTGGTACAACTCCAGAGCCAAAGGATCGTTGTCTCCTTTGTATAATAAGATGCCATTGTCCTTGTCCGTTGCTACCTGTGAAACATTAATAGGCAGGTAAGGTTGCTTAGTAAGATAAGGTAAATATGATTAATAAATCATATATAAAAGCAACAAAGAGAGCAAGCACCATGAGACACAGAAAGGTCTTAGTGACATTGAGTGGCCTTGGACACAACCAGGTCAGCCTCCCACTATGGGATGGTGCCCTTGCTTCAAATAAGAACTAGCTGTCAGGAAATGAAAGCTGCAATTTATTTGATCCCTCTTAATAGACTGTTGCTGTATTTTTGGTGACACATAAATATATTTCCCAGCTACTACCCCAGCCTGAAGTGGAGATTTGGAAAATCAACTCTGGCAGCAGGAGCATGTCACAATGACAAGCAAACAGATTTCAGCAGGCACTGATCTGTCCACAGATATCTAATATATCACATATCACATATATGCTCACAAAGAAGGAAAGAAGGACCTATCCCCACATTCACCATAGCCGTGAGTTATTTGCAAGCCATGCTGATTTCAAATGGGACCTTAAAAGAGTCAGGAAGAACAGAGTAGCCCTTGTCCCTCACTCTTGAGCCCTTTTAAGTAAGATTTCCTCTATCTGTTCTTAATAATCAATGTTGTATTCTAATTTTAATTCACTAGTGATTAATGACTGGATGCAAGAATAATATTAAGCCTGGGAAACAAGAAGTGAGAACATCATCTGCATGTGTAATAACCAGTTTTGTTCTTCAAGCTCTGGCCAATGTAACGTGTTTTGTACACTTAAGAAAACAATGTCCAGATTTTCAGCTTTAAAGTTGACCTATAGTATGTGGAGCCTTCAGGGAGCCATATTTTAGAGTGCCCATATTTACAGAATCTCTTTTATGGTATTAAATAATAGGGATTTTGAAGAAAGCCTGGAGTTTCGATTATACATGAATCAGCTTCATTTTCATATGAACTTTATACTCAAGCTATTAAGGAAAAGATAAATATTAATTATGGATTTTTTTTTCTCCTTAGAATAAAGTTGGCAGGAATCACCCTTTAAAAATCTATTCCGAAGGAGGAGATTTGTTCCTCTTTCCCATGTCTTGACATCGGTATTTTAATTACAACCAAACTCCATCAAGTAAATCTAGAACATGATTTCCAACTGTGGAATACAATCTTTTCAAACTGAGAAAATAAATGCTATGAAATAAATATACAGGTATGATTTTTCTTGTCTTGTCTTTTGAAATGTTAGGCCTCATTTGCAGGGGGGAATCTAACACAGAGACAGGTTAACAATCAGTAGCCTAAGGAAGACAATCATGTCATACAGGTACTCCACATGTCTCTTTAGGAGAAAACAGATAAAGCTAGAAATTATTCCTTATGTACTTTGGGATATTAGGAAGGGAAAAGATTAGTTTAATACTTACTAGACTGTGAATACAAATAACTTCCAAATCACTTAAATATCATATTGGACTAAGTGTCCAAAACACCTTTGATCGACAGCCACAAAGAGGCCAGTGGTGGCACAGCACTTTGATATCTATTTTCCATTATCTTCTGAACCTTAGACCTCAAACCCCATTTAGGTATAACTACAGGACTGTAACAAAATCCTGCACCTTTCATCTACTGAATGTGCACAGTATCTTACAGTACAGTAATCAAAATACTGTCTGGAAAGGCCACTTAGAGCAGTTCTTAATAAGCGTCCTAATATTAAGCACTAATTGGTATGGGATGAGCCACAATGCTGTCAACCAGTAAGAAGCCAGGGAGGTTTCCTGAACTATCTCTATTACATTGCCAGTCTGGGAGCAAGGGGGTGGTGAGATTCTGGAGGCAGGTCCACAAAAGTACAGTGGTGCCTTAGTTGTCCCTTCAGGTTTCAGAGCAGGCCACTGACTGACAAGCTGACTCTAACTTTGCCAGCATCTTGGTCAAGGGATCCTGCTCTTTCAGAATGAAAACATCTGTAAGAGTACATGTCCTATGGCTTCGGGAAGCACCGAGCTGTTCACCTGGAGGGAGATGTTTGCCTGAGGGCGGATTTTGGCTGGCGGCAGCTCCACGTAGGAATCCTTCCCCACGAAGTTGACGGTGATGAGCTTCTCGCACTTCTGGCCTGCGAAGCCAGCGAGGCAGCGGCAGACGGGCTCGTGGTGCACGACGATGCACTGCGCCCCGTTCTGGCACTCGTAGTTGTCACACGGGCTCGTCTGCAGCAGGACCATTGGCGGAGGAGTTTCACAGAAGAGCCCACTGCAGAAAGAAAAAGTGGGCTCAATCTCAGCTTGTTTTAAGGAAGGAGACCTTTCAGATGCTGACAGGATGCCACCACCGTGGTACAGCGACTCGAGAGTCAGTTGCCACGTGCCTGCTTTGCTGTGAGAAAGCCCTACAGCACAATGCTGTACAGAACATCTCCCGGCTGGGTCTGAACAAGCCAGTTCAAATACTGAAAGCAGTTCATGCTGCACTTTGCACCGGCTGTTTAGCTCTGCAAGGGACAGCAGTCTGTCTACAATAGCTGCCATCCTGTAGAGGTTCCCAGCAAAAACTGGGAGCAATTTAAGCCCAAACCTGAGATACCTCCATCCTAGGCTTTTTGATTTAAGTCTATATCTGCTGTTGTAAGTGGCAAGCAAGAGGAAAATCCTCTATTCTTATTCCTTTTACAGTCTCCTTACTTGGTTTACTGCATATCAGAGTGTATCAACAGATGGGCAACTGCTAACAGGCCGCAGAAGCAATGCACTGATACCACACTATTTGCTGGGCAGTGTCCCTGAACTGGTTGTCTCTATCAGCATGAGAATCATTCGCTTTATTTTAGCTGAGTTTGTGGATGGCAATGTCCTGTATCAGAACAATGCAAAGGAAAGGAAGCTCTCCTGGAATCCGTGGGAGCTGAGAAACAAATGCCAGATCTGTGGTTCAGTCATAACGACGTGAGAGGCTGAGCAAACCCTCCCGCAGGAACCTGTGAGACGTGGGGCTTGGGCCACATCACCCAGGAGCAGCGGTGGCTTGGTCCCCAGGCTCCTGGTCTCAGCATGGCTGCACCCTCATCGGTGATCCACTGGGGTGAAACATCCACCCCAGCAAGGCCGGAACAGGGAAAAGGGAGTTGCAGTCATCGGTCACAGTGTGCCAGGCGTCAGGCTAAAACCCTCTGCCCAGTTCACCCACTGCACCTGTGGCACTGCAAGGGGACCCAGCCAGGCTCTCTGGCTGCTGCACACAGTGTGCCTGTGCCTTTACACCCCAAACTTCTCATTACAGCCACTGTTCAAACCCAACGAACCCTGTTTGTACTGATGAGAGAACATTAACTCTTTGCATGGAAGAGTTCTGTGACTGCTTGAAAATGTGTATCCTGTACAATGATGAAAACTTGGTAGGCGGTGAGCAGGGAGCATGTGTTGGGCTGTGCTGGGGGGACACGTGTGGAGAGCTGCGGTGAGGGCTGGGGCTCCGGCTCCAACCCTGTGTTCAGTTCTGGGCCCCTCACTACAAGAGAGACATTGAGGTGCTGGAGCGGGGCCAGAGAAGGGAATGGAGCTGGTGCAGGGCCTGGAGCACAAGTGTGATGAGGAAGGGCTGAGGGACCTGGGGGGTTTAGTCTGGAGAAGAGGAGGCTCAGAGGGGACCTTATCGCTCTCTACAACTGCCTGACAGGAGGATGGAGCCAGGAGGGGGCTGGTCTCTGCTCCCAAGGAAAAAGGGATGGGACAAGAGGAAACAGCCTCAAGCTGCCCCAGGGGAGGGTTAGCTGGAGCTGAGGAACAATTCCTTCCCCAGAGGGTGCTCAGGCATTGGAACAGGCTGCCCAGGGCAGTGCTGGAGTCACCGTCCCTGCAAGTGTTCACACCCCACCCCGTGTAGCCGAGGCCTCAGTGCCAGGGGTTAGTGGTGGCCTTGGCAGGGCTGGGGAAGGGTTGGGCTGGATGAGCTTGAAGCTCTTTTCAACCGTTTGATTCTGTGACTCTATGATTCCTGCACCACCTCTGTGTTACACAGCACTCACAGCACCAGGGCTGAGAGCCCTCCGGGAGAGCACTGTGGCAGAGCCGTTTGTGCAGTGAATAACCCACCATCCCAGTCCTGGAACAGTGAAATCTCTCTAGGAATTTCCTGCCATTCAGGGAGCACTTTGTGGAATCACAGCACTCTCATAAAAACAAAGCAAAAAATGCCCCAGATCTCGCTCCTCTCCAGTCAAGCAGGTGGTATTTGGAAGCTCAGTGAATTTCTAGGCAACCTTCCTGGATACAATTAGAGTAGAAACCCAAGCCATTCCCCTACAGTAACTATTACTGATTTGAGACATGCAAGAACAGCAAATAAAACAGCCACAACATACTCAAGACCAGTCTTGCTCAGCCACAGAGACCAGGACGTGCTGCCTGTGTAACAGAAGGAAATGGAGATGACTGATTTCCTTTACACATTTTCCCATGTGGAATTTTGCACAGAGCACCACAGCTCTATCTTTATTACTCTGTGGAATGCGAGCCCAAACCTCTCCCTGTCCCTGTTCCTCCAGCACACACCACTCTCTGGTCTGCCTCTGGGAAACACAAAGGAGAGAGGAATATGCAACAAAATAGGAATGTGCTAAATCCTGAACTGCACCAAAAGCAGTGGAGCTGGTCTGCTCTCCTGTTTGAGAGAAGAGACACAGGGCTTTACATTGCTACTTGAAGAATACCTTGAAAGAGCAAACATTTGGGATTGGCACCTGGGAGAAGGCCAGGAAAGCTCTCCTATTCCCAGGACTGCAGCAAAGGGGCTGGCAGAGCATGGAATACCCCAACCAGCTTCCTAACTGCCCTAATCTGTATGTGGGCCTCGGGGCCATCCTGCTCCAGCCTGGAGTCATGTACACAGACACACAGATATTTCCTTCTCAGCCAGAACCACCTCTTGGTACTTCTCAGGATAAAGTGCATCTCAACACTTTTCTTACTGCGTTGCCCTAAACTTCCTTTATTCACCACACAGATGGGGTGAAGCTTCCCAGCCAGGCTCCACATGGCCATCTCATTGCTACCTCGCTGCTCTAAGGGTATGCAGATACGGTTGACAGAGACCCCTGATCTTCCCTCTCTGCCAAGTGACACTGGGGGCTGTCAGTGGGCACAGTCATAGGCTGCTAATACTATTAGCCAACAGTTCAGGGAGGGGGTAAATATCCTCTACCAGAAGAGCACAATCTTGCACAGGGACAAGCCAATCTAGTCATTGAGACAAATGTATCTCAACAGTGTGATCTGGCAGGCAGTGCTGCTGGCAGCCAACAAACACCACTCACTCTGCTCCGAGGAGTATGTGAAGATGTGCAGGGTGAGTACAGTGGGAATGGGAGCATGGCAGGCAGGGGAGTAACTGCACATGGGTGCATTGGGCTTGTGTAGCAAGGTCTTGTTGGGGTGGCTACAGGGGTGGCTTCCATGAAGCTTCTGCTGGAAGCTACTCCCATGTCCAATAGAGCCAATGCCACCAGCACCAAGGTGGACCTGCCACTGGCTTAAGGCTGAGCCGTCAGTGACAGTGGTAGTGCCTCTGGGATAACATGTTTAAGGGGGAAGGAGCAATTGCAGCCAGAGAGGAGTGAGAATATGTGGGAGGAACAGCCCTGCAGACACACAGGTCAGTGCAGAAGGAGGCAGGAGGTGCTCCAGGTGCCAGAGCAAACCATGGTGCAGACCATGGTGAGGCAGCTGTGCCCTGCAGCCCATGGAGGTCCACATGGAGCAGATACCCACCTGCAGCCCATGGAGATCCATGTGGAGCAGGTACCCCCCTGCAGCCCATGGAGATCGGTGTGGAGCAGGTACCCACCTGCAGCCCATGGAGGTCCATGTGGAGCAGGTATTCACATGCAGCCTATGGAGGAGCCCACCTGGAGCAGGGGGATACCCAAAGGAGGTTGTGACCCTGTGGGCAGCCTGCACTGGAGCAGACTCCTGGCAGGACCTGTGGCCCCATGAAGAGAGGTGCCCATGCTGGAGCAGGTTTGCTGCAGGAGTTGTGACCCCACAGGGGGGGTCACACTGGAGCAGCCTGTGAAGCACTGCAG